TTAGCCATGACACTGTGCTGTGGCTGGAGGTCTCAAAGTGGGTGTAGAGGGTGTTGAGGTCATCCAGCAGGCTGTCAGTGGAGCTGATGATGCTGGTGGTGGTCCTGTAGTCTGTGATGTGCTGCAGGCCTTGCCACATTTGTCCATAGTCAGCAGTAGAATTGCTGCATTGCTGCTTAAAGTGCCTTAGATTTTGTGTTACTTATTTACCTATTTTATATTTCATTTGTATTTTGTGGCATTCATGTGGACGGCAAAGTAAGAATTTCATTGTACAAGGAAACACGTTTCCTAACTGTGCATATGACAAATAAACACTTTGAACATTACAGATGTTTGAGAGCTCAAAAACAGTCAGTAACATGAACCTGAAACTGTCAGACCTTTACCGACTGACTGGTAGTATTGTGCTCTCCAAGTTACTTTTCCATCAGAGGTGCAAAAAGCTGGTTCTGTCTCCCGACAGCCTGTTGCCTCCTCTGCTTTATAGCTTTGTAAATAGAGCTGAACATTTTTCACAATTTATTTTTTAAGGACTTCATAGATGTTTAACGGGGAAAATGATCAGCAGGTTTATTAGCAACAGAGAAATCGCTGGGTGAGGCCTCACGTCATCGTGGACAATATTTATTACTTTTCAGGATCTGTTAGTTTGTTCTGTAAAAGACCGAGACATGTCTGTGTTAAAAAGCCCTGAACACTGATACTGACATGTGATGTGTTGGCCAGCTGATACTGGGCTGATAATTCTGGATAATTGGCATCAGATGACATCAGAACTGGGTTGAACTGCCACCCTCTCACCCAGGCTTACAGAGGACTGGTAGAGAGCATCCTCACTACTGGCATCACAGTCTGGTATGGTAACACCACACAGGCAGAGAGGAAGGCTCTTCAAAGGGTCATAAAGACTGCAGAGAGGATAATTGGGACTGAACTGCCTGCTATGGACACACTGTACACACAGCGCTGTCGTAAAAGGGTAGAGAACATAATCAGGGATCTGCTCCACCCAGCTCACACTCTGCTCAGACACAAAAACTGCACCTATAGCCTCAGGCACAGCAAGGTGGACAGTATCATCACACACAGAACTAGACTTTACAACAGCTTTAGCAACTATTTTCTATTCTTGTGTGATCTTATATTTAGACCAGGCGTCCGTTCTTTTGGCTTTAAACTCTTGACATGACTCCAGGAGAGCCCTGCACAAGAACTCCTATATACCTAGACTGTGTGTTTATGCACAAATGGCAAGTAAAAATCTTGAATCTGTGTTCACTAGGCCGATTAACAAGAAATGCCTGCAGGCAACCGTGTCAGTGCTTCTATTCAATTTTACAGACTTGGGTTTTTGATTGCTTGTAGACATTTTTACACAGTGTGGAGCAAACAGAGACGACACTCCTTTGGTTTTGATAAACGTTTCAGGTCGCAGCAGCACAAACCTGATGCACACAGGCACAAAAACAACAAAGATGTGTTCATGAGGAAGCTCAGCTCGCGACCAAACGAAGCTGGTGAAGAAGAAGAGCAGCTGCTCTGTTGGTGATGATGTGGAGGATGGTTGAGGCGACGCCTCACCTGTACAAAGTCAGCTGGCTCCACGTGTTCTGAGCAGTCAAACAGCAGAAGACCTACAGCACTTTAAACATTTGACCGTTTGCATCATCATTTTGTGCCGATGTCAAATAAAGAGCAGTTTTTATAGGAGTCGAGCGTGTAAGTCTCAGATTGGCGGTTTCCCACCACGCTGTGGGGAGGGGACCCACAAGGAGCAGACGTCTGTTTAAAACATAAAAACCTCACAGAAACCTGGGTGTGGACACAGTGCCGAGAACCTTCTCCTCACACTGGATTCAAGTCATTCTCCATTTAAAGTGAAAGAATTACCAAAGCTTCCCAGTGCGGTCACACGGCGAGCAAGTCACAGTGACAACAGAGCCATCGGGACATCGTGCAGTTCCCACGAGCTCAGCAAACCAAACACAGCAGCCAGTCCAGCATCTCAGAACTGTTCTGGGAGCTGTGGTTCAAGAGGCTTCATGAGTTCGAGCGAGTGTGGAACGCGAGTGAAATGCTCATCCCTGGTCTGAATGAAGGAACCTCAGTGTGACAGTGTGTGTGAATGACAGACTGATGGAGCAGCAACGTAACGTAGCCCAGGCCTGAAGAGGGTGTGGTAAACAAACAGCATGTGAGTCCAGACGTTTTGCGATCACATCCTGAAGCAGGAGAACATCACGTGACTGTTCGATTTGAAGGCTAAATTCAGAAGGTATCTACACCAACACAGCAACAAGAAAATGTCATATGGGAACTTGAACTGTTGTGAACCTGTTGAAGTGAGGTACGACAACAGCAGGACAGACGGGACCACAACGGTAAATCACCTCAGGACCTCCCACAGGGCCCCAATCCCCATGTTGAAAACCACTGCTCAAAGTCCCGAGCAAAGTTGTTCACTGAGGCCGACAAAGCAGAAAACTAGTTGGGAAGCTACATGTACAGTTGGTTGCAGGAAGAAGGTGGCTGTCAGTGGGGTTTATGTGGTGTGACGCAACTTGACGGGGGTTTTCTGCTGAAATAAAGGTTAAACATTCGTCCAGGCACCTGAGCCTGTGCCAGACAGAAGCTGCAGCTGCTGACTCTGTGTTAAAGCGGTCGCTGTCCGTGTCACTGATCTCCTCAGCGGCAGCTCCGACTCTGACCAGCCTGTTTCTATTCTGGGCTAATCAGACACTGGCTGGATTGCAGCTTATGCATCAGCCTGTTCTGAGCTGGGCTGTACATCACCTCCCTGTTTCAGTTGAGCTTCTGCTTTCTGTGGCGGTTTCCTACATTTCCCAGAATGCTTGGAGCTTTCAGTTTAATGTGAAACAGCAGGAGAGACATGGTTTCATATCATCTTCACACAAACGTGAGGTGTCAACAGTCAGAAATTCCAGCAGAACCCTGAACACCTAGTGGGAACCTTATGGGTTCAAAACAATTCTCAATTCAATAAAAAGAAGAAGAAGAAGGTCACCATGCTAAGGTTCAGGGTTCAAGCCCTGGCCAACCCCGGGCCTTTCTGTGTGGAGTCTGCATGTTCTCCCTGTGCCTGTGTGGGTTCTCTCCAGCTTCCTCCCACAGTCCAAAGACATGCAGCTTAGGTTGACTGGTGACTCTAAACTGCCTGAAGGAGTGAGTGTGTGTGGTTGTCTGTCTACATGTCAGCCCTGTGACAGACTGCTGACCTGTCAAGGGTGGACCCCGCCTCTTGCCCAGTGTCAGCTGGGATTGGCTCCAGCCCCCCACGACCCCATTCAGGAGTAAGCGGTACAGATGGATGGTCACTATGTGCATCCCTTGATGTCACTATAGCCTCAGTAACCAAAGTGGTTGAGTGCACAGCCAGAATCAGCTGCTGTAGGGACAGTGTGCAGCTGCGTGCACCATGAGTCCACTCCTTGGTATTTTCAGCTCAAGTCCAAATAGCACCTCCTCTGCAGAATTACAAGATGGTTTTACTGCTTAAATCCAATAAAATCTGCATTTGCCCTGGAATTCCCGCCAGCACAAGCTCATCTGATCACGTAAAGTAAAATCAGCTGACCGTGAATCAACACCCAAAACAAAACTCCAGTGACAGTGAACCTGGCTGAAGGCGTGGGAGTTTTTTCTTTGGGCTGTGCACTGTGCCAGAAATGGCACCAGGTGACCGGGACAGATTTGGTCACACTCCAGGAACAACCTACTGAAGAAAAGGTCCAAAACCGACTCTCTGGTTGCAGCTCTAGTATAAATGTGACCACAGCAGCTGAATCCCAGTCATTTTAATCTCCCACCACTAACAGCAGCTTCTCCTCTGTTACTGCTGGGAGGAACTGACAGTCAGTACTGAGCCAAGGCAGAGCTCCACAGGAGCACCATAAGCACAGATACAGCTAAAGCCACAAACATGGGACTGCAGCAAATCTTTTAACTGGGTAAAGCGTTCAGCACATGTGAAGTAGCTTCACACAGGAAACGGAAGGTCTCTGTGGTCTCCAACCCGTTAAAGGCTGTCAACATTCATTATTATGACCTCATGTGACTGTGGCACGCAGCCTTCTCCATCCCAAGGACTTTACAACGGTTACAACTACAGGCTTCAACCGGGGACTGGTTAGTTCACAATCCACTGGTTTCTACCAATAACCAGAGGAAGAGCACAGCTGCCAAACCTCTTGTACACTTAGTGGGGAAGAAGTACAGCCATCAGTACTTCATTACACACACTGCACAATTGCAATGACCTCATGCAACAAGGCTCTGCAGGAGGAAGTAGCAAGTGTTGACATACAAGAAGAAGAAGAATAACAGCTATGAGCTCTGTAGTACAGGTTTTCACAGAGGTGTCGGGTTAAGAGGTAGAAACATTACAGGACTGACACGATGACAGCGTGTGCGCAGTACGGTCACCTTAAAGTCACAAAGAGAAACAGATGTTCAGAAGAAGTAAATTAAAGTGACGTTCTGTGGGACTTTACCGCATTTTCCGTGTCACTTCGAACCAGGCGCCAACTCGCCACATTGTTCCCAATTCATGAGCATGAGATGAAACAAAGTCCGGGGCCGTATTGGGGTCACACGGTGCTGTATCTGGAACCCATTCCAGGAGGCACGTTTGGTGGCTATGCAGCTACAGCAGCCACCGGCAGCCCGCTAACTTCCTCCGCCCGAAACACAGTCAACTTCTACCGGGTTCTCCCCTTACTGTGGCTGCAGCCCATTCCTCCTCCTCCTCCTCCTCCGAGCTCGGCAGTCTGTCCGAAGCCACTCACACTAGCCGACACTCCTCTTAGTCCTCCTCCAACTCCTTCTTCTTCTTGATAACTTTCAAATACTCCAGAAAAAATCCCGTGAACGCACCGTTACGGCCCGCCGGCCACATGGGGGCGGGGTCTGTCTGTGCTGTGTTCAGGAGCTCATACAGAGCTCGTCATCCCCAACATTTATTTTGACTTTAATTTAATGAATTCAAGAAATAAAGAGTATTATAAGACTCTATAGTATTAAGTAGTAACGTTGGTTTAAAGTCACCACGGAGTATCACATTCACTAAGAACCTACTATTCTTACCTACTATAGTGGTTAAGGCGCTGCCCCCGGGTTCGAGTCAGGGTTGCGTCAGGAAGGGCATCCGGCGTAAAACACGTGCCAAATGTCAACATGCGAGTCGTTAGTGTGACGATTCGCTGTGGTGACCCCTAAACAGGAAAAGCCGAAGGTGACTTTCTATTTTAAATAAGAGAACAACATCCCCACACCAGTGTGCTTACAATGTCAAGCCTGTACAATCAACTGTCGAATTAATATAAATATAAAATGCTAATTACAGTCAAAATCCAAAAAGGTTGAGGACAAGGAAAAAAGAATAATAGTTTTTAATATATGTACTAGAAACAAGAAACAAAGTTAAAATAAAATGTATTAATGAACATAAAAGAAACAATAAATGAATTAAAACAGAATGAAGACAACTCAGTGAAGTGTATTACTGTATTACACAAAGGAAATAAATAAAACAACACAGAATAATTCACCAGCCCTCATTAGAGGTGTTTTTCATTTAAACATAGTAGGGTCTGAATGAACAGTCTGCAGTTTGGCTTAGAATGAATCACTTCTAATGAACATTTCCAAATAACAAGTATCACACTGTAAAGTGAAGAAAGAGCCAAAAAGTTAAAAAATACATATTTTATGACAAATCTCTCATAATTTCATATTTGTGAAGCTGGAACCAAAACATGGTTTGCAATTTTGTCTAATAAATGATTTAAATAAATAATACAGCCGGTGTGTCCCCTCTCCTGCTTCAAACACTCCACCATCAACGATGCAGTGAACATGGAACTACAACACCTCGACTCTCCAGGGACCTATGCACGGGTCCTCTTTGTGGACTTCAGCTCAGTGTTCAACACCATCATCCCAGACATCCTCCACTCCAAACTGACCCAGCTCACTGTGCCTGCCCCCAACTGTCAGTGGATTACTAGCTTTCTGACAGACAGGAAGCAGCGGGTGAGGCCACAGCCGGACCCGGACCACATCCAGCACCTGGACTATCGGCACAGGTGCCCCCAAGGGATGTGTGCTCTCCCTGCTGCTGTTCTCCCTCTGTACCAACAACTGCACCTCTGGGACCCCAGCCTCTGAGGACCCCTCTGTTTGATTCCTGAAGTTTGAAGACAACACAATGGTCATCGGCCTCATCCAAGACAGTGATGAGTCAGCCTACAGACGGGAGGTTGAATAGTTGGTCCTGTGGTGTGGTCGCCACAACCTGGATCTGAACACATTCAGACCAGTGGAGATGACAGTGGACTTCAGGAAGAACCCCCCCCACTTTACCCCCACTCACCATACTTGGCAGCACTGTATCAGCAGTAAAGTCCTTCAAGTTCCTGGGCTCCACTATCTCCCAGGACCTGAAGTGGACGTCCAACATCAGGACCATCACCAAGAAGGCACAGCAGAGGATGTACTTCCTGCTCCAGCTCGGGAAGTTTGACCTGCCCCAGGAGCTGCTGATACAGTTCTACAGAGGATGAGCCTGTCCTCCATGGAGGACCTGTACACCGCACGGGTCAAAAGGAGGGCGGAGAGGATCACTGCTGACCCCTCACACCCAGGACACAATCTGTTTGAACTCCTCCCCTCTAGACGGCGTTACAGGTCACTGTGCACCAAGACAACCAGACACAGGGACAGTTTCTTCCCCCAGGCTGTCGCTCTGATGAACACTTAACCCACGACAGTATGACTGGACAATAACCCTCAGTGCAACACCTGTAAATATACATTTGTATATATCTGTCTGAAAACTCCACCCAAACTGTTAATATGCACATATTTTACAAGCATTTTATCTTTCTTTTGCAAATGCACATTCATTTTTCTTGTTTGCACATCTTTCCTTTGTTTGTTCAGTCTTATTATTTTCTACTCATTGCCTTATACAAGAACACTGTACATCCACACTGAGAGCTGCTGTACCAGAGTCAGACAGCTCCTGTGTCCAACACACCTGACTGATAAAGCTCCAGAAGTGATTGTTTTTTATTGTGTTGCCTTGACTGTCTGTAGAACGTCATCTGTGATTCTGTTTACACAATCACACAGTGTTAGTTCTTACAAAAAATGACAATAAACGCATCAGTGACAATAATAAATACTTTAGGATCTCCTGATGCTTGTTTCCTGCTCAGCTGCAGATGGTGGATGTTTGTATGCCATCATGTGATGGGCCTCGGAAGGAGGAGCCCGGGTGAAGTCGGTCAGGTGCAGGTGTCTGCTGCAGCTGTTGCTGGATGGAAACTTACGGTGACGCTGAAAACAACAACTGCTGCTGTCAGAGACACGTTGGTGCTAAAAATACACCCAAGTCCACATTCCACACGTGCACCACCCTCTGCGTTCAAACAAGGAGGCCTGGCTGTTTCTGTGTACAGTGTGTGTATGTGTGTTCATGTACTGCAGCTCAGTAAATTCTCCAGCTCATTGTGGAGACTCTGGCCCTTTACTGAAGTACAAGTAGTAATGCTACTGTGGAAATAAATAAATAAATAAATAGATGTATTAATGCTGGGCAACCACTAAAATCCTTAATCGCGTTAACTGCATGGTTTTCTGTGATTAATCACGATTAACTGCACTGATATGAGCAGCATTGAATAATGAATTCAAAAGTAGTGTATTGCACACTTTTATTTTAAAAGTACTGCTTTATGAATAAAAGCGCAATAACATTTGTTTTGCAAACACGTTAAACAAATAAGGTGTTTAATTTGTTCTAATTCTGCAGCACTGGGTGGACTGTGTTTACTGTGGCCCACAACGTTTCTACATTTGGCCAGGCCATTGTCAAACGCACTGTTCTGCAGAGCTACTGTGACAGAACGATGGAGACTGTACGTGGACGCAGGGCACGCGTTCAAAGGGCACGTGTCTCGCAGCAGCGATCACATTTCTTGCTAAGTGTCCTGACTTTATTTGAAACGTTCCACTGCTGTGTAACATGAATGTTCTGGGCACGTTTCAGCAAAATGTCTCTCTTCTGTTTTCATTAGTCAGAGCATGTGAATGTTGTGACTCCGAGATAATTATGTTACCCAGCGATGTCTACTAGTCTCCAGTGAGAGCTACAGTCCGTGCACGTTGTAACGAACGCCTGTGCCCTTGTACTCCTCTCCTTGCCCTACAACTCGGGTATTCTTCTTGTGACGGTGTCCGGTTCACCTGAGCGCTGCAGTAGTCTTAGGCCCGCCCCAAATGCTCTTATTGGTTGAGACGCGTGATGACGCCCATCCCAAGCCAGTACTGATCAACATCCCACCCCCACGTGACCCATGGTTTGTCTGTATGTGTTTTCAGAGGCAGTGAGCAACGGACTTTTAAAATAATAATAAAAACCGCGTTAATGCGGGATAAAATAATCGTCGGTGTTAAGTAACGCGTTATCTCGCCCAGCCCTAACACACACACACACACACACACACACACACACACAGTAACTGTACTTCAGTGCTTCTGTGTCCTGTGTCTCCAGGGGGCACTTTAGATGGTCATGCCTTTCCCCCCTGTGCCACTATAGCACTGCCACTGTCTGTTTCACATTTAACATGGAATCCCCCCAACACACACACACACACACACACACACACACACACACTCTCTGATAATGCCTGTTTCCCATTACAAACACATGCATGCATAAAACACATACATTCATCTAACACTAACTGACAAGCATCCAGAAAGACACAAACACACATGCACACACAATTCCTCTGTCCCTGCCCAACATTAAAGCTGAGTCCCTCTGCACCAGAAGGCTGTTGTTTATGTTGGTATAAACTATTGCTCTAATTACCCCATATGTAGTCCTCCAAAAACATTGACGCTCTCTGATGAATATGCGCGCATACTGTACGTCAGAGCTGTGCTTGAATAAATGCACCCAGGTAGTTTCCACCACTGCAGGACTTAGTCGTAGTCGTGTGTCACTTCCTAGTCGTTCTGCGTCAGTTTTTAGTTTTTACTCATTTTGCGTCTCTGTGGTTGATTAGTCTGTTTGCAGCCTACTTGTTCTGCATCTGTTTGACTGATCAATGACTTAATTGACTGATTAACTGACGAAGTACAGACTTCACGCTGAGGCTCTGGTGCACGGCGTCCCAGGACCTGTGCCCGATACCAGCCTGCGCAGGCAGCTTGTTTCCAACACCCGCAGTCTCCCAGTGGAGGCACACGCTATCTTAATATGAGGCAATTATAGAGAGCGTGTCTATCCTACATGTCTGGGGGTCGTGTTTGTCATCCTTTCTTTGTTTAGAAGTGTGTGTCTGCTGCTACACATGCGCCAACATGTCCCCCGAGCGCCACCAGCCGGTGACAGGCGATCGACAGGCAGCCAAGTAAAACCACAGGCTGGCTCCAGTCCTCAGACAAACTGCTGTCAAAGTTTTGTACCTACACTGTAAATAATCTAACATTTAAAACAAACAACCATCAAATACATTTTAATAATTTACATTTTTAAAATTCTTGTTCTTGGTAAAAACAACAACTATGTTTCAATTAAACCAGCTCATTCATACAATTTACACCAAAACAAAGATTTAATTGTAATGGACATGATGAAATGGGCCTGTCTTACTGTCTGGAGAAACAACATTACAGTCAGTACTCAAATACACAATGAGTGACTTTATTTCTGAAATTCAATTAATCAATCAATCAATCAACAAACCAAACTCCTGAAGAAATGTACATTTATAGGTTACCGAACACAAAGAGATCCAAAACCTCAGGGATAGTAACAGATTTTACCACCACCACTGAAAACAAACATCCTGAACCATGACCTTTGACCTTTCCAGCTCACAGCACCGTGGGTTCTTCCATCTCTCCTCCTCTTCAGAACGGGTCAAGGGCAGAGCCAAACACCTGAAGCAGGTCCACGTTCAGGTAAACTCGGCAGAAGGAGAGGAAAACACCGAGACACGAGAACCCGATCAGAACCCAGAGAACCTGAGCGCTGAAATACAAAGGAGCCAGCCTGACAGAGAGGAAACGGAACATATTCAGTTTATTATCTGTGCTGCCAAACTAAAGCAGAAGAGAGAAGATCTGAGAAGAAACATGTTGTGTTGACTTCAGCTACTTTGTTGTTCTGGGAACATTTGTATTATTTCCCTAAAAAGACCCCTGAGCTGAACACTGATCAAAGATAAGGCAGTGAAACACTGACCTATCACAAATCAAGATGGGTTTTAAATGGACTGAGCACACTTCACATGTTAAAAACAACAACAAAAAAACACTTAAAGGGTAAAAACCGGACAGGTGATGGTGCCTCCTACCGTTCCTGTGCCGACTGCGAGTATCCATGAAAGTAGCGGAAGCGTGCGTACAAGTAGAGCAGGCCACAGAGGGAGGACAGACCTGCAGCACACAAACACATTCACTGCATGAGAATTGTGCATGTGAGGGGAACATCTGCAGCTTCTGATGGGTTCTGTCTGGTCACCTTGGCTGAAGAAGACTCCAGACATCCACAGGACCGTGATGAAGATGGGGAAGTACTCGGCACAGTTAGCTCTGGACACACAGGACATCATGGTTCAGAGTAGCTCGCTGTGGCCTCCAGGAGGCGCCAGCAGCACTGACTGAGGACTCAACTTAAAACAGTTGAACTCATTCATCAGATAAAATAAGAAATAATAATAATAGTTGTCAGTTTATGAGGTACACAAGGCTCAAAGTGACGCAGCCCTGCAACAAGCCCTTGCTTAATGAGGATAATGCTGTTTTAACAAAGGTTAAAACACCAGAACCAGCTCAGTGTAACACAGTGCAGGTAAACAGAAGC